CCGTATATGTATAAAGAAAACCCAATTGAAACAAAACTCAAAGTAATTTTTATTTCTAACCTATAACAGTCAATGTATTCTCGTGTCATTTTTTCACCTGTAAGGTGGTTGTTCATATCTGTAAGGCTGGAAGGTATGCTGCAGCTGTCTGTAGCCCTGACAGGTGACGTCACGAATGTAGCCGATGACGTCACTCACCATCCCCTCCACCCGTCCTAGCAGAGAGTTCTGGCACTGCGCATGCGTATATTCTGGTGACTGTGGTAGTCCTGGTGCTCTAGGCTCGCCACACCACGTCGAACCGCATATCGACTTGAAATAAATAAAAAATAGTTGTAAATAAAAATATTCACATTTTTACTCTATCTTCGCTCTAAAACTTGAGATTTTCATAACTGCTGTGGATCTTTTTGTTGCTCTTGTAATCGTAAACTAGAATTTGCATGGTTATTTACTCCTTTCATCGTTCCTATCATGTGTATTTATGTAAACCTTAGTATAAAATATGATAATTAATATGCAGGATATGCCAACCAATTGTTTTTATACATATTATTTATGTAAAAATCTATCTTTTTATTCAGAAAGTCAATGGTTCAATCCTAAGAAGAGTCGATTTATTTTTTATCGATGGTTCAAAATTGGTTAAGCTATCCTTGAAAATTGGGGTTTAAATAAAGATCCTGACTAATAAAACAGCTGATCTTAGGCGATAACAAAGCTACACAGTTCATTAGAGACCTACTACATTCTACACTCACCTTACAATTAATTGCGTTCAGGTTAAAATGGAGACTTTCAAAATGCGTTGTTGTCTCAAAAAATTGGTTATTGTTATACGTTATATATTCTCAATTATTCTAGTTGTTCGGAATTTCAAGTTTTTTTCTATTTACCTTCATCCGATGGACAACAAATCGTTAATTCAAAAGCAAAAAATCCTTTCTTTAATGATAAACATTAAATAACCTATTTCTGTTTTAAATATTGTTTCTGTTTGTTTAAAGATATTCCACATAACCAAGAATTATAAATTTTTATGTAATTTGGAAATGTTTGATCTTTTAGCTGAACATTAATGTATTTCTTCTTTTGGGAAAAAGCATATATTTTATCGATAGAGTTTTCAATAATACGTATAGTTTTTTACTGTATCGACGTATTATTACTATTGTTAGTACTCGTATAAATAGTTTTTGATATAAGCAATTAAACATAAAATCTCATATACGATTCATCAAACTACTTTATGTTGTATTATTTAGTACTTTAACAAATAACGTATATTTAGACAACCAAAAATATATACAGATTATTTATATTGCCTTATGCTTAACAAGTTAAAAAAAAATTACTTTTGCTTACCACATATAAGAGCAGCACCAACCAGAATGTGTCATAGGATGACGGCATTGTACCATAATAGATCTTAGATCAGACTGTGAGAATGCCTGACTCAACAATATGATCAGCTGTTTAACACCTGTCAGCTGTCTGCGTTGTTTTGACAAGGTATGGCGTTTATTAATTAGTAAGGTACTTCACGAATAATTTGTATATATAATAATTTACTTTAAATTAGGTGCTGCTTAAAATTACTATTCAATGTATTATTTTTAGGAAAATTAATTATAAGGCTTATATTTATTTCAACTTTACTCATTTTCTTATACATGTGTTTCAATCCTTACTAAAATTAAACACACTAGCAATTAATATTAAAATAAGATTTCACTAATATCACAGACAATATAATACTCTATATTCTAGCTTAATGTGTATCTTAGATTAGACTCACTGACATTCTGTTTTCATAACAATTAATTTGTATTATTAAATAATATGGGAAAGCACAAAGTTCATCACTATAGGTAATAAGTATATGTAAGATTAATTTTACTGCAAAGCCTGGTGCAAATGTTTGTATACACAAACAATAAACAGTTATTTAATTTAATATGCTAACGTATCATAGAGTAAGTAAACTTAATGAGAACATTTTGAAAAATTCTGGTACATTTTGGTCCCATATTTTAAAATTACTTATTAATTTAAGTAAAAATTTCATAATTATTTTCGTTAAGGACCGTAAGGACTCTAAAATGTAGCATATAGCTTAAGGGTATTTCACAGCTCACACAACTTTTTACAACTATAAAAGGCCTACTTTTGAATATTTTATCCCCAGAAAGTATCTGGCATAATAAAGTGACGGCGGTAAACTTTCAGTGCGTAATTAAATGAGCCCAGCCAAACTAATTGATTTAATTTCCCTCCAAAGACATCTTAGTCCCAGAAGAACGTTATTACAAATTAAGTTTGTGTAAGCCTCCAGCAAAAAGAGTTTTTTTCTTTTAAGTCAAGTTTCAGTTACACCAGCTAGCAGCAATATTCGTCAATTAATTAGGATAGTGTTTAATAATTTAAATTACTGTGAAATATTGTAGGACTCTTGATTCCAAAAATGTTATTCCTTACCATACGTTTGGTGTTTAATAAAAACACACCAAGCTGATATTATTGAACAAGGGTGTGTTATACACCCTTGGACGCTAGGCACGAGTCCGGAATTGTTTTTCACATTACTTCAGGCTAGACCTAGGGGTTACGGCATTATCACTTGGATAAAATCCATTGGTGGTTAGGCAGGATTTGAACTCCAGGAACCGGAGTCCCGCACTCTATAACCACTAGACCAGCTCGCTCCCCTATGTTATACACAGTAAAAGCTACCAATTTCAAGGTTGAAAAAGGCATACCCTGATGCTTTAATTACCTCTTCAACCATTAAATTTTCACGATAACCAACCTCCCTGTAGTTTTAAGAATTACAATAATGGATTTGTGGCCCAGCCAGTATTACACTTGACTTTGAAATTAGGATAGTAACGTCTTGGGTTGAAGATCTGGACCTTTTTTACTAGATAGTTCCCCGCGCTGCCTGCTCACGTAGACACTCCAATTCAATGTTAAAACGAAAGCAATCTTCCCCTTGAAAGGTACGTCCCGAACCACTGTCTTGATACTATTTACGTTAAACACCCAAACAAACAACAGAGACATATGATAACTGTTTTTTTACTAGCTTTTGATATTAACTATTCTACAACTCACTCTCCTCAAAAATATATTAATTTACAAACATCCAAAAGGGCCAAAAAGTGCAAGGAAATCACACTAAGTTCCGAAAAATCTAATAACAGGTACATTTTTCGTACTTTGACAAATAAATCGCACTGACGTCTGTTATACGTTTTCAAAGGTCAGATTAAAACCATAAATCCCGCAATTAAGAGTATTGTCCCAACAATTGTACCTCCCCTTACCCTCTGAGTTACAGCGCTGGCAACAATTAATTTTTATTGCAAAACATTCATTACGGTTGCCAGTTTTGTGTCGAGCGTTCAAATTGTGTTGATATTTGCGTTTTAAAACCCTCCACAACTTTTTAACGTATCTGTTTGTTTGCACGAACCGTGTACAAGGTTATGACCTGTTGCTGTGGTAATTATCTAAGTGAATTTGAAAGTAAAATACTTTTTTAGACTATGTCTTATGTAATTACAGGGTGTTATACCAGTTGCATTACTTCATAAAACCCCTCTATTCATCTATCGTAGTACTCGTTAAATTTTCTGTTGTTTCACTTTCTTACTCCATGACCAACCGTTGTTTCACTTTCTTACTCCATGACCAACCGTTGTTTCGCTTTCTTACTCCATGATCAACCGTTGTTTCGCTTTCTTACTCCATGACCAACCGTTGTTTCACTTTCTTACTCCATGACCAACCGTTGTTTCGCTTTCTTACTCCATGACCAACCGTTGTTTCACTTTCTTACTCCATGACCAACCGTTGTTTCGCTTTCTTACTCCATTGTTTCGCTTTTCTGGCTCTTAACTTAACCCTTAACATCATTACCACATCCAAATATTTTAAGAAACAGTAATTTTTTATTTAGTTTTTTTTAATTCTTGCCCTTTTTGAAATGTAATGAAATGAAAAGAAAAATCGTTTATTTATTCAGGCAAAGTTAGGTCCACATGACCCTTTCTTACACTTAACCTGACATTCAAAAAATAACAAAAATAATGTTACATTGGGATAACTTAATCTAATTAAACATAAAATATTTAACAATTCAAGTACCTACATATTTAAGAAAAAAAGACATACAAATTTAACAAAAACAAAAAAACACATTTACATACTCTTGCATACACGCATCAGCAAACGCGCAAAGTAACAGTAGCCCTAGGACACGCCAGCCGAGACCATCTTCTAAAAAAAGAGCTTTTTCAGTGCCGCCACAAACTGGGAACGTTTTTCAAGTGTCTTAATGTGCCGTTCCACAGACGACAAGCTGTAACAACAAAAGCCCTGCCATAAGCTGTGGTCACATGATGAGGTATACGCAATGTGATAGAAGAATAACGAGACATTCGTGAACTACCCTGAGACACAAATTTAAAATCGGATTTGAAATATTTTGGGGAGCCTGTTTTCAAAATTGAAGAAATCCAATGAAAAAATTTTAATGAATCTTTGATCATTTAATTTCAGGATGTGTGCCTCAAGGTTTTCTGTGCTTACGACCTAATTGAAATCAACGCAACTTGTATTCAAGAAATAAATAATATAAACTTGTATCCATTTTACATTTTTACAACGAAATACTCGATTAACAAAACGATTGTGTTTTACTTAGTGCAGCCATTTTCGCAAAAAAGCCTCCTCAATCGCATGAAGAAAACTTCAAAAGCATTATCCAAACAAAATCAGGCTATCAAGGTATAAAGTGAAGTAGGGGGCGACCTTAAGATTGCCACATGCCTAATCCAAATTAAAATATACAATATCGACAATTGTTTTTACAATATTACCTAGAAAAACAGATAGAAACTAATAATGTATTCCTAAATTTATTTGACTTTGGTTTGAAAGTTATTTATTCCACGGTACATCACAACAGTGAACATTTCAGTCATAGCCTCGTATACAATTACACACCTGTCATTCTTTCCGAGACATAACTTACTTAAACTACTGTGAGTAAACAAATTCCTCTATTTGTTACTATGAACATTTCTATTATAACTGTTTTGTGCTTACAGGTAAGTTTAGTACTATATGGGTGATAGGAATTGTAGTATTTTAATTGTATAGAATATAAATACTTAAAAAGCCCAAGAAAAGTTGAGATTTATTATTTTACATTGAAGTATTTAATAGTTACATCTGGTCTAATCAGTTCTCAAAAAATAATATTCAGGAGAGTTTTGTAGAATTGTTTGTCATTTACTACTATAATGAGTGTAGCCTAGTGGATTGGTCATGACAACTTCTTGTTTGCCATAGTTAATATGTTCCAGTAATTATGTAACATGAACATTTAGGCTATATTTAAAAGTTGACAATAACATAAATTTGAAGGAGTTTTTTGTGTACAGTACATGGTCCAAAACAAGTTTTCAATTTTTCCATTCGTCTATTCTATTGATGTAAACAAATGATAACCATTAGGAAAAACGTGTACACTTCCGTATCTCTTTGCACAAAAACGATAATATCCATCGATATCCACAATAGCTATAGGTATGTTTTCGTTTAACTGTAACTTCCAAACACAAAGAGCGATGCTATTGGTCATGATGAATTCGATAGTTTCTTTAAAGATAATTTAAATATTCATTAAATATTCATGTGGATCCTTATATTGTTGGTAGCAGCTTCTTTTGATCAATAAACTGAACAAGAGAATTGTGTAAATATTTACAAAGAAAATAAATAAACCGAGAAAACTCAGGTGATTCAGATTACTTTAAACGGCACTGGGGACACATTTTTAATATTTTACTTGGTCTAACTCGTCACTGCATACACCTAGTACACATGACACAATATAACAGTTTTATTTTGTACATTTTTTTTCTCGGATGTGAATTACAGCATTCTTTACAAATCATTTAACAAACCGTTTATTTTAAGATACTTAAATGATTTTATTTAACAATTATAAAGAGTATATACATTTTTTCTTAGATAGGCTGTTTTGTTTTTGTTTCAATGATATAACAATGTTTTTGTATCTTACAGATATGTTGGCACTGTCAAGCACTACCATTAGAGAGCCCACCTCAGTTGGCACAATCTGGTGAGACTAAACACACACAAAAAGACCTGAAGACGTCTAATGACGAAGTATTCCCTGATGATATAGCAAACCCATTTAAATTTGTACCTGAGGTTGCTACACAGAATGCTCAATTGTCACAGCAAAAAGACCTCGACCAATCAAATATTGATCGGATGCACCAGAAAGTCCTGACACAAACTAATAATCAAGCGGATTCAAAAAAACCTCGCAGCTTTGAACAGCATGGTGACCAAAAGCAACAATCATATATTAGGGACGCACCAACTGTCCAGCAACAACCCGCAGTCCAAACGTCAACAACCGTATCTCAGCAGCCTGGTGGCCAAATCCAACCGGGTGTACAACAACAATCCAACAACCAACCGCAGCCTGGTGGCCAAATCCAACCGGGTGTACAACAACAATCCAACAACCAACCGCAGCTTAGTGGGCAAATACCACCTGCTGGTCAGGTACAACCACCTGGCCAAGTACAACCTACTGGACCAGTACAACCCCCTGGCCAAATAAGACCTCCTGACCAAACACTACCTGCGTATCTTTTTCAACCCACTGTTCAGCTTCCAACTGGGGGACAAACACTACTTCCTCAGAAACCTCTAGGACAGTCATTAAATGCCATCGACAAAGAAATCTTCAAGCAGCAGGCGCTGGAAATGGGAAGTAAAATATCCGACCTACTTAGGCAAGAATTATCTTTTTTAAGTAAGATATCCAACATTCCTATGTCTGAGCTTGATCATTTGACTATTCCAAGCACACCGACCTTTTTAACTTCATCAACACAACCTCCTCCTGGTAATCAAATAACAATCAACACATACGCGAGCCCATGCCTGCCTTGTGCTCAAAATCAACAATACATTCATCAACAAACTCCATTAGTTCAACAAGCTTCAACTTCTGTGGCAGGTCCACTACAACCACAGCAGACACAGCCAACTATGCAAGGATCTCCATACTACCAGAACCAACAACTGAGCCCTGTGAACAATTTGCTAGCAACCCCAGCATCTCAGGCTGTGAACTCACACCCATCATTTCCTCAACCTGTTCAGATAAACCCTTTGGTTCCCCAGCAGGCCCCTCCTAATGCCCCGGTATACCAACAACCACAACCTCATGCTCCAGTTGATCCACAAGCCCCACCTAATACTCCACTTCCTCAACAAACGCAACCTATCGCCCCGGCGTCCCAACAAACTCAGCTTGGTGCTCCTGCTCCTCAACAATCTCCACCAAACGCTCAAAATACACAACAACAACCTCAACCTAACACTCAAAATATTCAACAACCTCAAACAAATCCACCAGCCTCTCAACAACCTCAATATAGCGCTCAAGCTCCTCAACAAAGTCAACACTCTAACACTCTAACTCCTCAACTAACTCAACCCAACACACAAGCTTCTCAACAAACTCAAGCAAATGCTCCAGCTCTCCAACAAAGTCAACCTAACACTCCAGCTTCTCAACAACCCCAATTTAGTGCCCAAGCTATCCAGCAACCTCTCCCTCCTGCTCCAGTTTATCAACAACCCCAAACTGGTGCTCCAGTTTATCAACAACCCCAAACTGGTGCTCCAGTTTATCAACAACCCCAAACTGGTGCTCCAGTTTATCAACAACCCCAAACTGGTGCTCCAGTTTATCAACAACCCCAAACTGGTGCTCCAATGTATCAACAACCCCAAACTGGTGCTCCAGTTTATCAACAACCCCAAACCAGCACACCAGCTCCTCAACAAACTCAACCTAACGCTCCAGCTCCTCAACAAACCCAATTTAGTGCCCAAGCTATCCAGCAACCTCTCGCTCCTGCTCCAGTTTATCAACAACCCCAAACTGGTGCTCCAGTTTATCAACAACCCCATACTGGTGCTCCAGTTTATCAACAACCCCAAACTGGTGCTCCAGTTTATCAACAACCCCAAACTGGTGCTCCAGTCTATCAACAACCCCAAACCATTCCTCCAGCCCCGCAACAATCTCAACCTAATGCTCAGGTTTCCCAGTACCCTCCTAATTATCCAGTGACTACTCAAGATGCATTTCAATCTCAAACGAACCCTAACTTCCCTCAAGGAACAGTTGCGCAGGCTCCCCCACCTTATTATAATCCTACACCTAATACCTATCCTGCACAGCAAACTCAACAGACATATTACCAACCTCCTGTAAGCAACCAACAAACTCAAACCCCTTCCATATCTCAACCTCAACCTCAAACAAACCAGTACCCACCTGCAGCATATAATCCACAGCCAGGAATTCCACGATTTCTTCACCCTTTTCCTACAGATGATGTTTCTGCAACTGCTCCAATTTTTTAGAGATTTACTAATGTTAAGTTGATTTGTAGTTTTAATAGTTTCGACAAAATAAAAATCTAACTTTAACTCGATTACATTTTTGCATTTTTTAACCCGATATATTTAAATATCTTATTGGGTTAATTGATTTCAAGTCCCAAATTAGATGCATGTGTTTGAGAAGTTTTATCCGAATTCCAGAGCAGTTTCTGTTGTGGTTTTTTTTATTGTTGTAGTTGACCATTAGAAAAATCGAATTATTATCTTTGGATTTTAATTAACGAAACGAATAATAGGAGTGTTTGATTTCTTGATAATGTGTTTTCAGTTGATAATTTTGAAACAATAATTCCTTTACGTTAATCGAATGTATAATAGGTTTAACACAAACAATGGATGTATGAGATCCTTTGTTGATCCTTTGTGTATGAGATCTCAATGTTTAGGACAAATATCTTTTAGGTAATTAATAATATTGAATACGGAACGTTTCTTATATGGTTTTATATTTAGAGAAACAGTTGTATAATTTGAAATTATCATATCAACAGATTTAATAACACAAAGAGTGGCGCTTCGTTATTCAATTTAGAACAAATAAAGGATGTTTATCAAATCGTTGCCAAGTGCCCAATACTGCGTTTTAGAATATTTGGTTCGGTTTAGAGGAGTTGTCCTGGGATAATTTCATATCCTTGTTGAACGGGGCTGATTGGGTGCGGCCTACCCGTTTCCTACAACAAGCTTGGCGGTACAGGTGGAAAATTATACATAAATTAATTATTAGTCTTCTTTCAAATTCTGAGACAACCCCCTTCAAACAACAAATTCTCTTGTTACCCTTGGAAATTAACAAGTAATAATAAAAAATATATATAATAAAACCGAAAATTGTATAAACTGAAATATTGGTTGTTAGTGAGAGGTAACGTTAATGTAAACTTAACTGTACTTGTAAAGTGTTTGCTAACGCGGCTGACGGTCTTATAAGACCAAGCTAGGAAATGCTAGTCTGTTGTGTGAAATATGGACCTGTTTATTGTATGGAAATGTTGTTGTAAAACGTATTGTAAAACCTATCCCCTTAATAACGCAAAGTCAAATAACGTTATCATTGGTATCAGTCCATAAAAACCTCAGTGAGTCAGCTTATGTTTTTTTTTTCAATGCTTTCTTCATCAGATTTTAAAATTAAGAGAACGTGATATTTCACTGCTCATTTTATTCGTTTGGCTGTTATTCTATTTAAAATTAGATGACTTGACCAAAATGAGTTTTTCTTAATGGTTAAAATGTACTCATATATTTTTAAAACCCCTTTTACAATGCACAGCTTACATGCATTTGAGGTTTAAATCCCTCGTTTGTATCTATGATTTCCTTTCTTTAATAGGTTGGTAAATATTTGAACTAATGATCGTAAAAAAACTATATTACGAACATTTGAGTAGTTTTTTCTCTTCAAAATTTACAAAAGTATGAATACATTTACTTGCGTTTTAAGTATAAGGAGCTACATAAACCGAGAATATCTAAAGGAATCGTTTTCACTGGTATATAAGACATTTCAATGTTTTAGTTCATCCGTACATACTACATATGTACATATGTACTTTCACATATGTACATTTTAGACATGAAAAAGTATATTTTTTTCAAAACCTTATAGAGATTAGTGGTGGAAAATGTATAAAAAATATTTTCTACTAATTAATTGCATTAAATAGTTAGTATTAAATAATTATAGTCCACACAATTCCTTTTTGGACCTAGGACGCTAGGCACGGGCCCGTGATTGTTTTTCACATTACTTCAGGCTAGACCCATCGATGTATATAACCTAACATCGATGGTTATATACATCGATGTTACGGCATTATCACTTAGATAAAATCCATCTGTCATTTGGCGGGACTTGAACAAGGGGCCTCAGGGACCGAAGTCCCGCGCTCTAACACCAGCTCCCCCACACAACTTTGAATTAAGGGATTGTCAAGAAAGGGTGTTTAGGACAGATGTGGTCATACCATTGCAAACCAAAGCTCCAACCAACATTGAAAAGATATTATAAACATATAAAATAAATCGCACACACAAAATAAGTACATTTTCAGTGTATATAAGTGGACAATGTTCAATAATATTTTATATAGTTTAATCGTAGTTTCATGGTTAGGGTGATCAAATGTGTAACTTAATGGTGGTAGCTAATAGCTACGTTACTCACTACTAAGAAAAGATGTTTAGTTTATAGTTTTGAAAATTTGTAGCCTTTAAAAAGTTATTACTGTTTTATTCTATATATTTTTCGTAAATTGCAGCTAATTTTATATTTTTTATTACTTAATGGGTATTTTTACTCGGAATATAAAGTCAATTGGTTAATAAATAGAAACATTTTCGAAGTAGATCTCAACTAAGTGTGTTTAAAAATGTTTAACATGGCATTAACATATAACGTGGTTTGCTACACCATTCGTTAAATGGTATAATGTTTTGTTACACCATTCGTTAAATGGTATAATGTTTTGTTACACCATTCGTTAAATGGTATAATGTTTTGTTACACCATTCGTTAAATGGTATAATGTTTTGTTACACCATTCGTTAAATGGTATAATGTTTTGTTACACCATTCGTTAAATGTTATAATGTTTTGTTACACCATTCGTTAAATGTTATAATGTTTTGTTACACCATTCGTTAAAAATGAAATAATGTTTTGTTACACCATTCGTTAAATGATATAATGTTTTGTTACACCATTCGTTAAATGTTATAATGTTTTGTTACACCATTCGTTAAATGGTATAATGTTTTGTTACATCATTCGATAAATGGTATGATGTTTTGTTACACCATTCGTTAAATGATATAATGTTTTGTTACACCATTCGTTAAATGGTATAATGTTTTGTTACACCATTCGTTAAATGGCATAATGTTTTGTTACACCATTCGTAAAATAGTATAATGTTTTTTTTACACCATTCGTTAAATGGTATAATGTTTTGTTACACCATATTCAATAATATTTGTTACACAAGTAGTTAATGGTACACTATGTTATTACACTAGGGAAATTCAACAATTGCATACAACCTTGCATCACTTTATATAACCTTGAAGTATTCCTAATTCAAACTGCAACCTTAAAACCATGCAGAGCCTTGAGACACGTTTAGAAGCACTCATTTGCAAATCCAATCTGCTGTATCTCCATGATTTGAACCATGAAAATGTCTTCTGTGTTGTCTCTACTGCTCATTAAGGTAACCTTCCTACAATATAGTTTATAAAACAATAGTTATTTAAGGGGGAAATTAAATCTATTATTGTAATTCGGAAATTTTTTTCAATGAATAATGGAGAATACAGACACTCAAACCAGCCATTGACCTCTATTGTCAACTTTTAAATATTTCACTGTTTTCTGAGAATCCAACAGATTTAACGATTTCTTGTAATCATTACTGTGTATCATCTTGTTATCATAAATTACAGTTATAAATAGAAGTTTATCATCATTCATTCAATCCAGACTCAGATTCTGGTTTAAATCATGTACGGAAACGGACGCCATTTAAATGGTTATTTTATGGAATAAATTATCACTTATAACAATAGCTGGTCATATTGTTGGAAATAATTGGCGATATTCTCATTAATATACTCAATATATATATATATACACTCAGTATATTCTTATAATTATACACAATATATTTGATAAAAGAAAATGCTAATTTATTTCTATATACTAAAAACTTAAATTATCTATTAGCTGGTTAACCTCTGATGATATTGACAGAGATTTGTTCATAGAATTTTAGAAATATATTTTAAATTTAAAAGGGTTAGTTGTATTTTACTGTTGCTAATATACCTATAAACTTATGAAGCTGCCAACTCCTCCATTTCCTACACAAAATTATAATATCAAAACCAAATTTTAATATACAAACTTTGTAGATATAATATCAGACTGTACATTAAACATTACAGTTTATTTGAAAATTTCAAAAATTTCGTCAATTTAAAATCAAGTAGCAAACTTGTTAGGGTTTGCTTAAGCATTCCTTCAAAACTGAAAAACTAACAATAGCTATAAAAGTGGAATAGTGAAATATTTAACGAAAATGAAAACACTGTTGTGTCTTGATATTCTAGTAAAATTAATATAATAAAATTTTTAAATAAATTCGAGCTTACCATATTTGTTTTCTAGATTACTGTGCATTTAAAATACATGTTTGTACTGAATTAAACATAATAACGCGCAGAGAAGTTAATTGATGTAATTATGCAATATATACAAAATAAAATGCACCAAAATATGATTTCACAGATTTTATTCACTCTGACACCGCAGCTGTCTTCCTGTGATCAATATAAGAAAGGAACTCCAATTGAAGATTCAACATTGGTCAATGCTTTGACAACTGGCCAACTACTAGCTCAGCTGGGGAAAAAGAAAGTCCAACAATTAAACGCTCTAGGAAATGGCGACGTTGAAGACTCGGCACTGATCAAGAACACGATTGAAACATCAGTATTGTTGGTCACATTTGGGAAACAAGTAATTAAAGAACTCAGAAGTCTCTCAGAAGACCAAGGACAGAGTTCGGTATTTAGTGGGGAGATGAACCCAAATCCAACAAACATTAACTCACAATCTTTTCAAACTCCTCCGCCACCTATTAATCCTATTATTGATGCAACCTCAATAAACCATAACAATCAAGCCACAAATCCAACCCAACCATCCAATCGACCTCCCTCAAATACTCTTACTTTTACTCAAAGTTTAGTTACAGATGAATTATCTCACCATCCTAATGTGCAACAAGTTCCACTAGTATTACAAAATCTACAACTTATCAATGTAACACCTCCTAGTATTACTAAGCCACCTTACAAAGGAACTTTTAATCCTTTGGCTATAGCATTACAAAATAAAGCAAAGTCTATATAAACAGAATGTTGAAGAGTGTGCCAAGGACGTATACAAAAATTTATACAAAATTTTTTATGTGGAAAATAAAGTCTTTGAACTCATGTGATTTTAATTTTTTTATATTTATTGGTTAAGTGTGGATGTGTATGAAACTTTGAAAAGAGTTTCTTTCAAGATTATGTTGTAGTTAAATGGTTGAAGCAATAAATTATATTAACATTCTGAGTCAAAAGAAAATTTACCTGCTCAAACTAACAGCACCAGTGTATCTTACACATTAAAAAATAACAATTTGATTTATTCCAAAACATAAACAACTATTTCCACTTACGCTGATCCTCTTCGTAAAGTAAAAAAAATACTAAGATTGCGTTTTTAACTTTTTTATAACCGACATAATTGAATTCTCGTCGTTAAACTCTCTTTGAAAGCGAACTCGGTTCTAAAGTTAAATACAGTTAGACTGAAAACGGCAGAAGGTTAATAACGTTAGCGAACAAAAAACCGGAGTATCGTGATCCGCTTATGCTGTGTCAGTTACAAGTGAACTCTGTGATGCCATTGACTGAAATGTCGTCATTCGTGTTTTGTGTTTTGATTTGTTTCACAAGCAGAAATTTTGGTTGGGGATTTTAATGTTGGTTTAGGATTTCAAATATTATATCATAAATCCCCTACAGTTTCATGGGTAAAAGGAAAAATAAAAATTCTGGTATCATTGGCAAAACTATTAATCTTACAGTATGTAAAATTTAATATTATCACAAAAAAGAATTCAGAGCTATATTTATTATAATTTATATTTATTTTTAAAACTTTTATTTTTTTATTTTTTTTTTTATTAAAGAGAGCAATTAAATAGAGTATATGCACTCTAAATTTAGTAGGAATTTGTTATTCAGATATAGCTTCCTACATGTTTTAGCTTTAGGTACTGAAGAAGTTGGATTCACAAGAACCAGCTGCTACCAAGACTTTACTAAAAAAGAAGATACAGTAGTGGAATTAACTACTCACAGTTTGTTGCTGTCGTAGTCATTTTCTATTTTAGCTTTTAATGCTATGATTGTTGATGGTGACATAGAATATGTTGTGTGGAATGCCCTTATATTTTTGACTTTGTTCAAAAGTTGGTTTACAAGATTCCAGGTCTCAAATACAGCTGAATTTACTCTGTGCATTGAATGAATAGTTGTTATAACATCCACCACGGTATATTTAACAGAAGTTTATTTATGGTAAAAGATATGAGTTTAATTACTTAATTAAAAATAAATAAAACATAACTTTGTAAAACTATAATGCAATTTAAAATATATACTGTAGTAAGATTTATGAAAAGATCACATATTTTACACAAGTTTACATTAACTTATGACGATTTAAATAAATGTTGGATCCCCTTTGAAAATGTTGTTTTAGGGGCATGAATAACTATAAAATATCTCTTTATAAACTTATTTTAAGCTTACCTCAACATTTTGAAAATAATATAAAATATTAAGGCAAACGTGGACTGCAAAGGTGCAACTACTAAGTCACAAGCCGAAAGAAGAGAATTATTCCTCAGTGGAAAGAATCAAAGTCAGTTTAATCGCTTTAGTATATATTGCAGATGGGATTGAACCACTGGGGTGGAAAATTTAATTTCTTTGTTTCAAGTTTGAGATGAACTGTTAAGCCTCTTTAGAGTTTGATTTGGAAAGTTTGGAGACTTGGCGTTTCGCCCCTATTGCCTGGGCACAACAAAAGTAGTTTTTTCTACATTTTACTCTAACTCCCAAACAATTACGGAGTCTTATCATACTTAAAACTAGTTTAAGCTTATTTTATTCAAATAAACTTAGTTTAGTTGCTTGAAACTACTTTTGTCCGTCAAAGTTTTGCTATTGATTTCAGAACTGAGCATTCGCTTTTAGACTGATCCTCAATTAGTTGAGAGTAAATTTTAACCAAAAACTACCTCGGTGTTATACGTACCATTGACTTTAAAAGTATATGGTACTAGTAACTAAAATGCGAGCGGCAAAAGAGGATCTTCGAAATGAGGCAACTTAATAGCTGGAAATAAACCAACAGTATACTGTATTTGATTGATGCTACTTAAAGTGACATTTACCAGTGAGTGTTCAAATTTCATGTGTAAAGCAAAGCCAAACACAGTAACACAGAATTTCACGTATAATAAGAAGCCGAGGACAGAAATAAACGACGGCTTAAAAGTGCCATATTAAGGACAATTTCATAATGCATTCTCAAAAACTGCCCGATATTTGCAGAAAATGAAGACGTGCAATAAACGCCCAAAATACACGAACAACTATTTCTGGCAATGTTTTTAGATAATTCAATGTAGAATACTTGCTTGAAAACAATGCTTTTCATATGTGACATATACAAAATTTAAGAAAATGGACCTTATAAAGTATGGTGAAACCTATTCGTAAAATTCTCTCAAATCAAGAAAGTCTTTAAAAATTACCACTGCTAATCATATGGATCCATGCAGGATTATTTCTGCCTAAATTGCCAAATCTGGCTAAGATAAAAAAAAATTTCGATTGGTCGGGTTCAACCAGAACTATTGGTTCACCAGATGACATTAACAAGAAAAGATTGAAACAAATACCAATACATAGCATATGTATATCCACATCTTTACTTTCAACTTGTTATAGATCTTAATAGTTCTGAGACAAACTAATAAGTTAAATTGATGAAATAGTTGCATTATGTCTATAACATTGTTTTGACTTATCGTAAAAAAATAAGTGGTTTTCACTGCTATGAGGCAATCTTAGTATATTCATATTTATTATTTGAAAATACCAAAAAATTATAGGTTAAATTATGTTTTAACCTATATCCTATCAATAGTTTCTACTTCAGTAACAAATACCATAAATACCCGTACAATGGCCGAAACTTTGAGTCCACCTCCGTTGGCCGTTTATCAAAATTGTGCATGATTTAATTCAGTACATATCTCCCCTTGCCCGTTTAGATTCATTCCGGGCCATTTCCATAAAACAATAGCAGCTATGTCCATCACCATTGCGGCTGTCATTGTTCCGAACTCATGAATAATTCGAATGCATAGAGATTCGCGACGCCAAAGCCTCAGTTTAAACCCTCTCCCCTTCTTCTGCACCCCCTCCCCCTTTACAAACCCTCAAACCCAGGGTCCTCTAGGAATTATCATAGAACAATATTCGGGAATTCTCAGGTCAGACAGGGAAATTGATTAAAGGGCTTAAGGAAAATTGCGTTGGTCAAAGGCAAATTATTTTCATAGTTGGGTTTGATGATCAGTGTAAGAATGAAACGATTTTCCCTCAAGTGAGCAGTTCGATCCAATGAGAGACATTTTGTTCTCACTGCTAGAGAAGAGTGATAACCGATTAATGTATGAACTTATCAGTAATATATACAGGGTTAGTAAAAAGTGTGGAGACCCCCTATTATTTTTTTAACGGCCCATACTAGAAAAACTAAACTCGGCACACCTTTAAGACATGTTATGAGGTACTTTTTGGGCATAACCGTCACTTGGTGTACATCCCCAAATTGGGGGATTTCGGGGGAAACTCAAAATTTCAAATCCAAAGACCCATCGAATGACCCGTCATTTAGAAGGTCCTGGTAAAAGAAAACCAACAACGCAAACTAGAGGTCTTTATCTCAATTCAGTAAAAAGTTGAAGCTGATTAAAATCTTTAGAAATCGGAAATAACTTGCAATTTTATATTCAATCGGCTGCCATATTTTACTGTGTTAAGATAGAGACCTATAGTTTGCGTTGTTAGTTTTCTTTTATTATGACCTTCAAAATGAGGGGTCACTCGATGAGGCTTATCATTTAAAATTTTAGAGTTTCCGCAAAATCCCCCATTTTGGGTTTGGGAACTTATGAGAATTTTAATTGGCTGCCATTTTTTACTGAACTGAGATAGAGACCTCTAGTTTGCGTTGTTGGTTTTCTTTTACCAGGACCTTCAAAATGAGGGGTCACTCGATGGGTCTTTGTGTATTAAGATTTGAGTTTCCCCCAAAATCCCCCATTTTGGGGATGAACGCCAAGTGGCGGTTATGCCCAAAAAGTACTTCATAACATGCCATAATGGTGTGCCGAGTTTAGTTTTTCTAGTATGGGCCGTTAAAAAAATAACAGGGGGTCTCCACACTTTTTACTAACCCTGTATAGTAGTACTATACTAAAGTTCCGGAAGATTCTTTTCTACAAGCTACAAATTGGATTAGTCATCTACTGTACTAACAAGTTGTGGAACACGCATAGTCAAGAGAACAAAATTAGATGGCAATATTTAAGGAATTAACTCAAAAGTAAGTCTGAAATATTCGGCTTTGAATGTAATCCGACGATGTAATGGATCAATAGAATACATAAATTCTAGATAAGTAAATTGTACTCACCTATAATGTAAGGCTTGTTATGAATGACTTTTTATACTGTTATAATTACGACATCTTAGGTTAAACAAGTTATTCTTGCAATTAAAATGTCAATTGAAATAAGTCTCCATAAAATTATGTTTCTAAATACAATATTTCGATAGATATAGTTTAGTAATAAGATCTTACATTACTTAAAAAAATTAATATTGCCGGTAATTCTTTCTAAGAACTGCAACAACCGAAATTCTCTAAAAATAGAATAGGTTTTTTTATGTAATTCGATTGATAGAATTAAATATTTTTTGTAAAAAGTCTTTCCCGTATTTAAGCATTGAAGATAATCCGTAACAAAAGAAGCTAAAATAAAAGGGTTGTAATGAATTTGAATTTCGGATGACAGTTGCTGATTTTATTTGGTCCTATAACATGCCCCATAAGTTTGCTTGCTATAACACCTACTACTGTATGTACTTTTTCATTGGATTTTTGAATCCGTTAATCTTACATTTCCTTAAGAGGGTTTACAGGTAAGGGAAAGAAGTAAATGTACCATAAAGTATGTATTATTTAGATAGTATTACTATATCGTCCTGGGTTTATCCGTTGACTATTAACCATATTTCTAGGGTTATAAAATATCCCACTCATCTAAACGAGCACAAAATGTAAAAATAATTTTTGTTCTTGTAAATACGAATCTTTACGTTTACGGTACTTCGATGTTCCACCTTATTACAAAGCATAAATTGTCACGATTGAAAGTCTTACCAAAAATATTACTGCATTATGTTAACTAAGATAGAAGTTTAGTTATTAGTGATAGCCCATTATAGAATCCGAGTTAAACTTTGAAACACCAATGTACCGAGGTCTTGACACAGATTTGGAACGATTTGCAGTCTTGCTTTCAGCCTTGAATGACTAAATGTTTACGATTCCAAAATGTGTTTTGTCTCTCTCCGTCAAGTTTGCTTCGCCATTGAACTGTCTATAGATCTGTATATAAACTGCGTATTTTTCATTGAAAATTCAAAACCTTTTCACAACGTTCACAATGACGCCAGTAGTGGTTTTGTTGTTCATTTTTTCTCAGGTAATGTTTGACTGTTAGATTATTCTAAGGTTAAAACTAAACTACGGTCAATTGTTTAACAGAGAGGTTTTTTTTTTTTTTTTTACTTTAGCACAGCTTGATCATTTAAACTGTAGACTATTTGTATCAGTAATTTATTGTGCACAAATAATACGTCGGTAAAATATTATGTTTGTATATTATACGTAACATCATGGAGATTTTTTATTTCCAGCCTAATTATTTATTTAATAATTTATATAAATGATAACTCATACATTATCATAAATGTTTATTTATTTCCTACTCGAGTTTTTTTTTACTTCTACTGAATTTCCAGCGTAAGAATGAAAAAGTAAGGTTATCTCAAAATGTTATTCAATGAAGTAATTGTAATCTCAACATGGATTAATTTAAAATTGAAAGTCTCTTCAACAGGAATTAGTTGTGCACGTTTCTTAAAGTCTTGTTTTATTTCCCCTGACCAGAATTATTTGCTTGTATACACAAAGCAAATACTTGATCAAATAAACTTACTGAAGCTGTAAACATCCCCAAGAAATTTTTAATAAATACCAGCTTTTTACCAGCTTAGTTTTTCAAGAAAAAAAGTGTAATCTTGCCTTTCCTTACCAATAAAGGTACTGTAAACCAACATTTAGGAATTGAAAACATTATTATTGTACGACCATTACTAAAAATATGATTTCTCGATATAAAATAACTAGTTCTAATGTATGCCTTTGGCCTTTTGATGTTACAGACATGTCTAAGTCAGCCGCCTCCGCCACAGACTGCAGTTCCTGTCAATTCTGCATCTCCCGCTAATCCGGCAGGTCCAGTCCCTCAAGTGCAGACACCGGTTTCACCAATCTTCTGCAATTTCCAAAATGCCGCATTATTCTGGAGACAGTTTCTCTTGAACTTCCTGAACCTCAAGCAGCAATGGTTAAATCAAGGTAGTTCTCCATTACCACAAACTGCAGCTTCAACTGTAGCTCAGGCACAGCAGCCGTGGCAACAACAACCATTGCAACAACAAAACTGGCAACAACAAGTTTACCAGCCCACCATAACTCCAGTGGTTCAACAAGTGCCTCAGGCTACATACCCTTACCCTCAGACCACACAAGTGCAACAACCAACACCAGTTCAAGCTCAAGCTGCGCCAGCGGTATACCAAACTCCTCAGCAGTATCCAGTACAACCACAAGCTCAGCCTGGTTTTGCAACACAGTTTGTACCAGATCCAAATCAGCAGAATCCGGTTAACCAAGTGGCGACTCAATCACAAGGAGTTGTTCAACCTCAAACTCAACCAACAGAACCTCAAGCATTACCACCCCCACAACCAGCCCCACCACAGCCCCAGCCCATAGCACCTCAACCAGGAACTATCCAACCTCAACAAGGACCACCACAAGCTCAGCCAGGAGCAACCCAAGGTCAACTAGTAGCGCCCCAACCACAACAGGTAGTAGCACCCCAAGTACAAACAGTAGCATCCCAAACTCAAAGCCAATTACCACAGCTCGTGTCACAAAATCCAAATCAGCAATATCCGGTCCAACAAGTGGTGACTCAACCGCAAGGAGTTTCTCAGCCTCAAACTCAACCACCTCAAACTCAACCAGTGGCAGCTCAACCTCAATCTGGAACGCCTCAACAATCACCATCCCCACAACCAGTGGCGAATCAACCACAAGGAGGTTTTCAACCTCAAACTCAACCACCATTAGCACCCCAAGCACAGCAAACTCAACCACCAATAGCACCCCAAGCGCAGCAAACTCAACCACCAATAGCACCTCAACCACAGCAAAATCAACCAGTAGCAGCTCTACCTCAATCTGGAATGCTTCAACCATTACCTCCTTCACAACCAGCAGTGCCACAGCCCCAACCCATAGCACCTCAACCAGGAACACCTCAGCCTCAACAAGGGGCATCCCAAGTTCAAGGCCAATTACCACAGCTAGCGCCTCAAAATCCAAATCAGCAATCACAACAAGGGTGGGCTCAACCTCAACCTGTTACACCCCAACCTCAACAAGGGGTACCCCAAGTTCAAGGACAATTACCGCCTCAAAATCCAAATCAGCAAAATCTTGTTCAAACTCAACCAGGTCTGGTTCAATCTCAACAAGGGTGGGCTCAACCTCAACCTGTTACACCCCAACCTCAACAAGGAGTTCCTCAGCAGTACCCTGTTCAATCCCAAGGCCAACAAAATGTTTATCAACAACCACCTTATCAAGCGCCTTACCAGCAACAATCTCAACAAGGTCAACAATATCAAGCAGCCCCTCAGGGGTACCCAGTGGCAGCACAACAACAACAGGCCTACCAACCCATTCAGCAACAGGCATACCAACCACAGGCATACCAACCTATCCAACAACCAGCAGCGCAACAGGCCGGATAGCTTTTGCAAAGTTCACAAACTTATAAACTCAACAGAATAACTTGTAAGGTAACGATTCGTCAAGGTTTACCACAGATAGACCTCATCTTATAAATACGATGTTCTATGTCCATCAGGGCTTGACAGGTTGGAAAAAGGTTAGAGATTAATTTAATATATTTCTGGAGATATCTGAATCTTATCAGTGGATAAGCTGTTCATGTAAAATGTCGCTTTGGTTTTGTTCAATTGTTAATTTAATATTGAATAAGTTTATATTAACAAAAATATTTATTACTTATTAAGCTGTGACAATTATCTTCGATTTTAATTGGAGATAGCACTCACAAATAATCCGTTTATTAGTGTTTTGAGCAATATTTTATCGCTTTGTTAATGACCTATTAGTGATCAAATTATTGTACACACCAAATTTTTCGTCATATCTCTCACTCTTCCTTGTAGTGGATTATGAGTATCGGCTACTATAGCATCTTAATATGACACGAATATTTAGCTAACGACATTACCAGATACTAGTCCTAGTTTTAATGCTTAAACCATCAATCGACAGGAAACGTTCTAAAGCTTATGATCCATTGGCAATTTTATTCAACCCTAGGTCTGTAAAATCCTTATTTTGAAAAAAAAAAGATTTTCCCTCAATTAAAATCAAACCAAAACAATTTAGTCAGTATTAATATAAGGTTATCGTTTCACTATTTTAGTTTTATTTTTTTAGGCAGATGTTTAGTTTGAAGTTGAGTGTTCAAATATAAACTGCCTACTATAAAAATTACACTTAACGTTATACTTCAGTGATTTGTCTGTCTTGTTTTGTATTTACCATTGCAGAAATATCAGCACATTGATATTATCTTACTGGATAAGTTTTTACTAAATCAAAAAATTGTGAGATTGTATTTAATAATGATTAAGGTGCAGTATTAATATGGCTGGTTTAATTAATTTTATATACGAGTAGCTATTAAAGGATTTACTTATAAACTAAATTGAATTTGTATATATAATTCACAGTTTTTAGTTAATTTAGTTAAAATTATATATCGTGTTTTGACAACATATATTAATTCTGTATGTGTGTGTGTTTTTTTAAAATAAAAGCTTAAATATTTTCACAATGGGTTATGTTTTTACTACCAGTGTTATATTCAATACATATTTCAGGGCATAATTAATTATATTTGATCACACAAAATGGTTAGGAGAAAACGTGCCTTCATAAATCCTTATTTGAATTATATAAAATAAAATTGCATTTACGAATATTTCCACTTCAGTTAAACTTGGTAATACGATTCATAAGTGTTTGACTTTTAGCAACCAGATATTTTTATCTGAACAGTTTACCTCATTCAAATAAATGTCTTATGGTTTTTAGAACCAAGATAAAAACTTAATATGAAATACTCTTTCGTCATACTACATAAAAAAAAACATCCGTTTTATATATGCGTTGTGGATCTGAAGTAGCATTTTTACTCCCTAAGAAATAGAATGCTACTTAGTACCTGGGAAGTAAAAATCTGCAATTGTAAAAGTTGTAAATTCTGTTTGCAGCAAAATTGTCATTAGTTGGTAGACCATCTCAACAGATTGCACCACGCTTTTTTTGCTTCAACTTTTTATATTACATGGGAAGTCTATTCTGTATATAGTCAATGGTTTTAGTGATGAAAAAACGTACTGTTATATCCTTACTCTACAAAAAAATTGTGATATTTTAATTTGGAGTTCAGTACTTATTAAATGAAGAAAGAAGGAAGAAGAGCTTGATTATCAGGTATAAAACCCAAAACAATTGCCCAATTCTACATTAATGGTCAATTAAACTCTAGAACAGTTCTTGCTCCACTACGATAAAATAAAAAAGGGTAAAATACATTATATAGTAAGCAAAATATATCCAGGCAAAAGTTATCTATTTATATTTAATATTTAAGTCTTAAAAGTACTACAGTCCTCGCCACCCTAACTTGATGCAGCCCAAGGCCGCACTAGATATACGACGTGCATCCTTGGGCTGCCTCAACTTAGGGTGGCGAGGACTATAGTACAAAGGTTATGATTATTTTCGTAGCATGATTGTTGAATTAATAATTTCTTTAAAGTGAGACAAAACAATGCTGTTGTTTCAAACTAACAAATTATGTTTCACAAATAAAATTATTATGCTTCGAGTTTTAGTCCCTTGAAGCATTTGTAAACTTAATGAAGAAATGTTACATTTATACGTATTAATTCAATTATTGTTTGGCTATATATTACAGGGTGAATCAAACGATCCATGCTCATACTTTAACGGGATATACAGCCGCTTGTGTAACTTACTGATAAGGTATACAAATGTTTACCAACTTCTAGAATAGCTAGGGAACTGAAACTTTTTGTGGAGGTCCGTCTCGGTCCCAAACAATCTAGAAAACACAAAAAGTTACATTTTCAAATTACTATCCTCTCAAATAATTCCCTTAAATCCCTCTTTTTTGAGAAAAACACTTTTTAACGGCTAAAACTCGAAAACGGTAAAAGCTAGCTAAGACTTAAATCTTAGCTAGCTTTTACCGTTTTCGAGCTTTTGTTCATAAGAATGTTCTTGGTTTAAAAATTAAATTTTCTACCCGACACTCCTAGGCGTTTTTAAAAATCGCACTTCTACAATGTTTAAAATTTCTTGGATTTTTGACGTGTTTTAAGTTTTTTAAATTACTTTTCGGACATATATTTGAACTTTTAATGATCCAAACTTTGAACTAAAAGTGCCTAAAGTGACGTTTTAAAATTGTAACCCACTAAAAGATTTTTAATGGCGGATTTTCAATGAAAAAGGTCGTTTTTTAACGCTTGTTGTGCTCACATGTTCTGCACAGGTTGCCTGATTCACCCTGTATAGAGAAGGAAACACTTACTACTCGCAGGACCAAGAAAGAACGGAGTCGAGGGTTTGAGGTTGCATGATTGATGTAACGTCGAGGTATTAGGGTTGCCATCAGTCACTGAACACAAACCACCAGCTGCTGGGGATTATAAACCTTTTTATGTTGAAAATGTGCTACTTTTTCATGAGGGTTATTGCTACACACAAGTATCAAACGTATGTGTTTGATTTTGAAGGAAAAACTACCCATAAATAAATTGAAAAATGTCCGTGATTTTTTAGTATTTCTTCAATCTATTACATTTTCAGAACACCTATATACAACTAGTAGTACGTGATGCATTTCTTGGTTGAAAAGGTAGGGTTGAGTTGGTGTTTGGGGATATCTAATTTAGTTTACCTACTAATAATGAGAAACTATAAACTATCTTAGTACGCTGCCACCAACTTGTTTTTTTTTTCATCGAAATTAGACGAATCTCAAGAAGGTGTAATTGTTGGCAGGGCATCTTTGCGTGATTTTGCACATTGTTTGATAATATTAGGAAACAGTTAAATTGAAAAGGCTATTCGCATTTAATTCATAATCGCAAGTTTGGGTCTGAAACAAATTACATTGTTTGTTTTAATCTACAAATTTTGCAATCGATTTTAAACTAACTTCCCGATGAGCAAGATATTTTAAACTAGAACTAGAATAGCATACAAATAGATAAAAATGCAATTTTGAATCATTTTATTTAAATGCCGTATTTTTTTAATATTTTTATTAATTATATACTCACGATAACCTAAATGTTAATACTGTATAAACAAACATTTTAAGGTTAAGGTAAGAAATCTAATTTATTGCAGATAAAAAAAAGTGTTGGTTATAAAATTAACATATGGCCTGTGATATGCATAAAGGAACCAAGTGCCATTATAACCAAAATACCTGAGATATAGGACATTTGATTTGCACCCATGCAAAAGATTAAATTTTTTTGTAAAATGCCAAACAACCTTTTTTAAGAATGTATAATGTTTTTTCTGCCATAAAGTATTTCCCACATGCCTCTGTCATAATCTCATATAGATGCTATAGCAGCGCATCAAGTTTTAGTGTCATTTTTTAATCGTCAGTCTGGTAACGTTGCACAGCTTTGGTGGCTTTAAGTTTCGCAATAGTATTATTGGAGTTCCTTCTTTTAATGTCAGTAATGTGGTGGGTTAATAACAATTTGGAGGCATTTGAATACCCAAGATAGCACGCACGATTATTATTCACATATAATTTATGTTAGATTGTGTGGGTATACAACAAAAGATAAAAATATTAAGGCATTGCCACCCTTTTTTTTTGTTTATAATACCTTGATAAAGGTGTTTATGTTTACATATTTAACATTGGAGAATTTAAACGTTGTTGAGAGCACAGGTGTGCTGCGATTAGGGTTTAATCGATTAGGGTTTAATATTTTAAGTAAAAATTATATTTATTTGTAAACATTTTAGTTTAAAAAGTCTGACATTTGCCCACTGAAAACCCTCTGGGGTGGAGCCCTTTTGACGGATCTGCACCAAACTTCACACCAACCATCCTTGAACGATAATGCCTGAAAGTTTCACTACACTATGTTGAGCGGTTTCGGAGTCCCCCAACGTACAAACATAGTTCCTCTTTTATAGATATAGATTTTGATGCTGAAGAATCATCTCTTGGACTAAAATAACTATTATTGCATGAAATATCTAATTGTGTTATAAGTAGATTACAGTTTCAAGTATCCGCAACCTTTTCATAATATGTCGCGAAGTGGGTCATCCAAAATCTGAAATAAGGACACCATAAACTCTTGACCTTGTGGATACATCGTCACTTGTCAGTTTACAACAATTCGTGCTCATACTGGGGCACAGCTGTTCATACTGTAACAGTCTGGCCTATATAATCTGACAGTTAACACCTCCAATTGTCATTCATCAGTCACTGAACATGGCTTACGCTCCAATCATCGCCATTGTACTCATGTACTTTTTTGTAAGTATCAAATAAAAAAATTACTATGTTGGGATAGAGTATAACATTCGGTTAAACACGTCTGAATTTCTAAATATTTCTAAGCTGCATGCTTAAGAAACAAATGTTATATTTGTGGGTATAGTTCATGGATTAGTTTCTAAACTAAATGTTTGGTCTGAAATGGTCTTTAAACTGCAAGATTTCCACTATAAAACTGAAGTAGACACTAATAAACACATCATTAATTGGACTTACTTTAAACCAGAAGACCTTTGAGTTTAGATAAATCTGTTTTTTCGAAATTGTATTCGTTGCTTTTTATGTGTTAGCTAATTTTTTTATTAGTAATCCGGATTGTTCAACTATTTTAATGTGACTACATGAATGCTAATCCTGAAAATTGTACTTTTAAATATATTGGATCCAGTTTAACTTTGTCGCCAGATAAAACAGGATAAGGACTAATTATTTTGACAAACCAAGTACATTTTACAAACTTTTAGTACCTTAATTGTGTAAAAAGAAATTATGTTATTACAGGTATAGATATTGGCATTTTCAGTAGTGATAAACTTACATGTGTGCTAAACTAAGGGCAATGAGAAATAAACTAATTGATGTTGCAATGTCTTAGTTTGGAATTGGTAAACAACGTTTTAATAACTCAGTATGGAGAGTAGTTTAATTTCCGTACAGCTGAGCTATCCTAACATCATCCATTTCCAATCTATCAAAACATATGATTTTTCCTGTCCTAAACATTACTTTTTCTGACCCACACTTTTCCTGTCTTAAACAGAGGAGTTTCCCGTTTAGCTCAACAAGACACTAATGTATGAATATGAGAAATGTTATTCAAACAGAAGTAATGTTAAGTAAACTTTCCAACTTTGCCATGACGAATTTAAAAAATACTCCTCTATTGAAAGGCAATTTATTATTTTAAACCATAAAGTTTTGAGTGATTAAAATCGGGATTAAAAGTTCACTACTCGTCACGAAAGTTGAATTCCGATATAGTTATTGAAACTCTA